TCCACATTAATATAATAAGGAGCCGAACTGTGTTAAACATTGATAATAATATGAAATGTTTCTTGAGCAACAAATCAGCATATTAGAATGATTTCTGAAGGATCAACAAAAAAGACTGGAGGAATGGCTCCTGAAAATTCAGCATCGTATCACAAGAATAAATTACATTTTAAATTATATATATAAAAAAATATATATTCACAATATTACATTTTTTTCTGCATTTCTGATCAAATAAATGCAGCCTTGGTGAGCATAAGAGACACATATCAAAGAAAACATTAAAGATCTTAGCCAGCCCAAACTTTTGAATGGTACTGTACAATATTTAAATACAGTGGCTATAAACGGTGTATGCTAACAAGCCCATTTATGATGCTGTAACCATTATTGTTCTTCTTTTCTTAAACTTGAAATAATTTTCTGTGGTAACAGACATTATGCCAGAAATGCTTAACTTGTATTGAACCTGAAAAATCCATAATAACACTCTCTGCCCACTGAGCAAAAGCGACTGATCACGCAAAGGTTTAATGCAGCCAATTGTGTCGTTTTGAAACCACCAACGCCAGCATTAGTCTCATCAGTGTGGGTGCCCTGTAGGGTGGCTTGACAGAGGTCCGGTATGATGGGCACAGGAGACCTGAAGAGAGCCTCTGAGATGTGGACAGAGAAGGTCATTACTGCACATTAACATCTATGTTCATTATTACCAACTGACCTCATAGTCAAACGCCAAACTTCCTGCCCCAACTGTGGCACACATCCTGGACTTTACTCTACTCTACATGACACTGAGAATGAAAATATAATACTTCTGATGGCGATGGAATGAGGACTCCAAATTTTAATGACAAAGACTGACATGCAGTACAGCTAAAGTAGGTCACAGGACGTAACCAAACAGACGGCTAGTAGAGGTTTCCAGCGACACTACAGCTTTGCCCCATTTCCATTTAACGCAGATGATGGATATGATTGTATCGGGTTGTGGAATGCGTTAACAATGACAGACTTTCCGTATTATGTAATGTGCAAACGGCTTACCAAATCTGACATAGAATGGGCAGATTTTGACACAACTGCACAAGCAATGACATCTGTCATGTGAAGCAGACACATAACAGCCTGATCACTGTGATACAAGCACACAGCTGTTCATCACATCTAACACACTTCTTATGTAGCAGGATGTTAGATGTTAACAATGGCAATGTAAGCATTGTTTTACTCTAAACAGAGATAACTGTTTGCTTAATGGAAGATAGAAGAAAGAAATGTGTTTATAAACTGATAATAGAAAGCTATAAAAAAATGTGTGTAAAGGAGGTGTTTCTACAGAGACAGAGCTAAAGGCAAAAATGCCCAGTTCTGTTTCAATTACATCAATTTACATGTGCCATGATGTCAGGTTTCTACTGTCCATACTTTGCTTACATGTTCTCTGTTTTTGTTAACACTCTTGATGAAGCTGAACAGGCATTAACATGACACAAACATCATGTCTGTAGTGAACTCAGGTCTTTGTTTTTTTTCAGACAATGCTCAAATTTGAGGCATTTTTGTAATTGTAAGTAATGTATTTATCTTACTTGGCACTTGGCAAAACCCACAGTTTGCTCTTGCACACCAAAGGACTACATCACAGGGAAAACATCCCTGTATTTAATGTATTTTCATATTTGTTCATTTTTTACACATGGAGAGACAGAGAGACGTTGATTTTAAAATTAAAAATTAAAATTCTGTAATAATTTTTCCAACCCTGTATTACTTACGCTCTTCTGTGGAACAGACAAGAAGAAATGTCCCAGAATTTTTTTCCCCTCATTATTGAAAGTAACGCTGGTACCGTGTTGTTCGGACCCCCAACACTTTTCAAAATATCTTATTTTATGTTCCACAGAAGGGAGTATATTATACTACTAGTATAGTATATTGTATTATAAAAAAATATATCATATTTTTGAAAGACATGAGGGTGAGAAAATTATGACATAATTTTTAGTTTTGGGTGACCTATCCCTTTAAAGACACAATTTGAAGATTTATTCACCAAAGTAATCAGCAATCAGCGTTAATGCTGCTTATTCAAAATAAAGTAGTAGTATCGAATTTCTTCTCATAGGGTGTTCCAAATCAGCATGTATGAGACAGTAAAGCTCTGCATCCTTTAGCATCTTGAGAATTCACTTCAAGTGCTCTGTAAGTGCTTTTGAAGTGAGCAGGGCACATTGATGCTCACTTTCGGAGGCTCTTTTGAGACTGGAAAATTTATACCTGGTAATATACTTGATTAGATATTCCCCCTCGTCAAGAGCAAACAATCAAGGCGGCACATATTTGCTTGTGCTTTATAAATACCTGCATGTCCTGATTACATCATGGCAAAACCTATGGCTACAAGCCAGCGGCTTGGGACAAATCTCTAAAGCCAGGGACTTTATCCTTGATTCATTCCTATTTATCACGGTTCGCTCCTAGCACTTAAAAGCGCCATATGGACTCAATTGTGGTTCGTTCCTGGCACATGTGATCTGGAGATCAAACGCATGCCATACCTTTGGGCTTTACTTTTGGATTATTTTCACAGGGCACATTCTGAGGAGTCCTCGTGCCACAAGGATGGAGATCCCTTTTGAAAATGTCCTCCGAGCACGAGGTGGTGGAATCCGATGTCAAAGAAACAAATGAGAAAAGGTGCCCGCCAGATGTTTCACCGACAAGATTAAACGCTCAGCGGTTTGATTAAGAAAGCCCATCTCCTCATCACCCCATCCTGCCCACATTAAGGCTTAACAGCAATCAAAAAAGAGAGTGCTACGGGATGAGTAGCAAGGCGCATGAGGATTTGGAGCTCGGGTGCCAAGTGATGACTTTCTGACCACTGGTGGCCACCGACTCTGAGGGAGTACGGCGATAATCAAGGCCTCTGTGGGAACCTGAGCAAGTACGAAAAGCAGAATTAGCAGAAGCTCAACATCAGCAGATACATCACGGCTATGACACAAAACCAGCTTTTATTACTTATACGTATTTACAAAACAAGCTTGCATTGGGCCAACAGCGAATTTTCCAATACACTGGGATGGTTTCCTCAGCTGTCCAGGGACGAAATCCACAACTCAATGTTTTACACACATTTCTACAAAAACACACCCACACGGTTCAATTAAATAATGTAACCCACACAACTATGAAGCCGTGGCACTGGTTTATGTAACAAGGTAATCGGTGTCTTTGATGCGACTTTATTACTTCGATATGGGACCAAGGCGCATAATTTCCACTGCGCTGTTCCCTTTGAACCGTTCTGAGACAATCTCTACAGCAGGATATCCTGCCATCTGCTTCAGTAACAGAATCGCTCCACCAGTCAGTCATTGGCGGCAGGCCGCCGTACAGAGAGTCACATCCATGCCTTTGAACTGCTTTTTAAAAAGCAGCCAAATACCCTCTTTTCCCCACCAACTTTGAAAAGTAGCTTCAGTTATCTGTGCTGAGTTAAATGGGCTAATGAAAACCTGGTCCTCTTGACAACAAGAGTCTACGAGAGATTGCTGTGATGGATTTTCCCCTCGATGAGCTTGATAGCACTGTGGTCCCCGTCTTAGGAGGAACTGTCATTGTTTTAGATCACAGCGTTGGGATCAATACAGTGCTGGCCAACAATCTTAGCGCTCCGATCGGGTGCATGGGACTTTCTGCAAACATCTGATGCCAGTTAAGCGCTATGGAAACAAAATTCCCTCTTCTGCCAGAGCAAAGAACAATGGAAATCAGAGAAGCATTACATTTAAGCCCTTGCAGGAGTGTCTTTGTGATGTGGCGGCTCCGTAGGGCTGAAACTCTTGAAAGGACACCTGATTGTCATGTGACTTTATGCAAACATACCCAGTTGGCCTGTTGTGTTTTAATACAAAGACTAGCCTTTAATAGGGGCCACCAGCGTTGTGGATTTCGGTGATTGATGATGTGGTATGGCCTCGCTCAGCTGGGCTCCTGCTCACTAGGGTCAATCACGACTGAATTGCGGCTATATGCAGAAAGCCAATTAATAAGTGAGGTTTGATGAAATTGATCCAAAGGATACTGTGAGGGAATAGAATCCTTTTAAAGAGAGATTTCTTTGGATTATGTTACATTCAATGAGATATTACAAAAAATGTTTTCATTCTGAGGTTACTTTTACCTTGTTTATTTTTCTCCGTCATTCTCCACTAAATGGGGATGGTGACTGCGGGCTAACCCTGTACTTTATTTACTTTAAAGGGAGTTTCCTTTTGCTAACCTTTATTGTCTATATATAACCATTTATTTGTCCTCTCGTGACTATGCATACTATATAAGTATTCTTGACATCTTGCAGTCTGTCTTTTGTTTTCCACAGCATCTATTGCGAATATGGTATGGCAGTGCAGCCATATTTTCATAATTAGACAAATTGTACTTCTTTTTCACGTTTGTTTTGGCAGAAAGAGAACAAAAGAGTGAATGAAATAAGAAATATGCATCACATAAACAAAGGACCAAAGGGAGCCCACCTGCGAGATATTTCAAATCAAATACTCTGCTTCTTCTCTTGTATGTCTCTGGGAATATTTTTAAATTCTAAAAAGGCTTGGACAAAGTTGGTTGCTGAGAAAAGAACCCAGGGCATGTTGACGGCTGGCCGGCCATGCATATAATCGTTTCCTTACACTCTGTGAGTTTGCTTTGGAAGGGGCGAATTACCATCTGAAAATGAGCTGAGAAACACTGTAGGCGAGAGCCCTGCGTCATCAGTGTCAGCTTACTTACAGCGTGTCTTACCCATGATACAGACACACACACTCGCAAAGATGCACTCACACTAGTGTGGACCAACATGACTAATGTCATCTTAACCCACATTTTACACACAGGGCAAATTTGTCATCCAACCAAGCGTAGGTGCACATCCATCTCCTCATAGAAATGAAACACACAACAAACAACACACACGCAGACACACAAACACCAAAAGACAGAGGGAGGAATTCAGTAAGAGTGTCCCCTGATTGTGTTGTTGTTTTTTTTTTTTTTCCAAAAGCTATATATTGTCTGATTCATCGATGGAATCATGCAAATCAGGTAATGGCACAAAATTGCCCACCAATCTGTGCTGAACACAATTTGAAGACAATTTCTGATATTTCTTTTAAATGAAATTCAGGTATTATCATTATTTGAAGCAGGCCAATTTTGTGAAAAAGGTGCAATCTATAGGAAACATAATTTACACATTTACACAGTCAAGATATATTTAGCACCTGGTTAGTGAATAAAACAGGTTAGTTAGGGCATCAAACTCTTTCCATCAATAGTGCTTTTTCATTTTCTTTACATTTCTAAAGCACAACTGTGAGTATTTCTCATAACAAACATGGAGAGCTATGTTATCAATATAGATGCATTTCAAAAAGATACAGCAAAGTGCACACAGCAGTTTTAGTGATGAAGAACACTGAAACGTGACCTCAGTGGTGTAGCCTGGTCTGGCTTTTCTAAGTCACAAAAAACAAACTTGAAAACACAAAGCGGCTGGATATTTCTTTTAAGTGTGCGTTAAAAATCTTGATTTTGTCAACCAAGAATCTACTGACTAATGCAAAAAAGTCATGCATCAGAGGGGGATAATGCAAAACATGCCACACTCAGACCTGGAGATAAACATTGTAGATATACAGATTGAAAGAACAAAGAGAAGACCAAAAAATAATGGACTGCAAACATATTAAAAAGAAAGATGTACTGCTAATATGTGACATGACACTTTTATGCTGAGCTTACACATTTCATAGAAAACATGAAATTCAGATTCCAATGATTATATTAGATGTTATAATGTGCGTTAAATAAACACAATTTTATATTTTCATTTTATTTATAATTTGAATATCTAATTATATTTTACATATTTTATTAATATATTTATTGTATTAATATATATGTATATACAGTGGGTACGGAAAGTATTCAGACCCCCTTAAATTTTTCACTCTTTGTTATATTGCAGCCATTTGCTAAAAT